ACAGCTTGCGGCTTCACAGCCGGGTACCCACTGCGCATGGCGAGTAGCGCTGCGCTTCCTGAATGGCCCCGTAGTCTTCTGGGACCTGTCACATGTCCAAAAAGACTACAGGGAGGGAGGGAGGACACCTAGGCGATCGGACCGGAAGTGGGAGCGGGTACCTGTTAAATTCGGGTACCTGCTCTCCCCCGCTCCCCAAAGGTGCCAATCCTTAATGGGGAGCGGGGGGGGGGAGCAGTCATTAAAGCGGAACTTCCCGTTTTGGGTTGAGTTCTGCTTTAAGAAAGGCTGCCTAAAACTGTTTTCAAATATATTCCATTCTATGAAATGACTCACAATCCGGGTTACACAAATAGTTGACGTATTCCAAAACGGGTTCATATCCAATTGCGGGATATCCCCATTCTGGAACTGAATTCATAAAGACAATACAAGTTAATGTCCAACCAACTGGACTAGGGATAAAAGAAAAAAAAAAAAAACCTGGGAAGGATTTAAGCTCCATGCACACTAGTGTTTTTTAAGCTTAAAAAAAAACCGCTGAATAAAAAACGCTGGAAATAGTATTATTTTAGCAGTGTTTTAGGAGCGTTTTAAGAGAGTTTTTACAGAATAGAAAAAAAGCTGCTAGGGGCACTTTAGTAGCATTTAGCGGGTTTTTTTTTTTTTTTTTTGCTGGAAAAAAGCTCCACCAAAACTCTACAAACACAATCTGTTTTCTGCTCTTAGATGCTGCAGCTCAAAATAAACAAACAGCAAAACAAACACCAAAAACACTAACAGCCTACAGTAGTGTGCATGAACACGTACCATAACACGATTTTGCTTCTAGGAGCAGAAAAAATGCCAACAGGTTCTAGGAGATTAACCCCTTGGCGCAGGCGCCTCCCAGTCCTTTAAGAGTTTCAGAAGACGGGAGGCGGGGCGGGGTTTTAGGGTCATGTGACCGCCGTGATTCGTCATCACGACTGGGGAAGGTCTCGATCGAAAGAGGAGATCGGGACCTTTCTGTGAGTACCGGACATGTGTGTTGGGAGCACGCAGGGCGCGCGCTCTCAACACATGTTTTTCTTAATTGCACGAAAATGTGCGACCGCTCGGCGCCAAGGCCCAGACGCCGGGAGAACGCACATTTGCATGCGGCCGGCGCCATGAGGTTAAGAATCATCCATGACGTTATTTTCCACTTTACAAACTGGGGATTTTTACCAACATGGATACTCCTTCCTTGCTTACCTTCACCATCAGAGTTTGATAGTTTATTTTTGTCTTCCTCTGGATCAACTCTGGGTTGTGAATAGGAGTAAGCAAGATGTCACTTCTGACATCATTGCTTACTACGTGTGAAATCTGTGAATGATCACAGAGATCACATGATACAAGGCTATTCACAACAGCCTTGTACCATGTGACAAGCTGTGACCAATCAAAGCTCTCACAGTATTTCTCAATGGCTGCAAGAATGCAGCCAGAGAGATAGAGAAATGATTGCGTTTACAGCCTTTATGGGTGTAAAAGCAATCAGTGTAAAAAAAAAAAAAAAAAAAAAAAAAAAAAAAAAACCTTCATCACCCCCAAGTAGTACAGTGTCACTATGGTGACACTGTACTACTTGGGGGTGATGAAGATTTTTTTTTTTTTACACTGATTGCTTTTACACTCAGGAAGGCTGTAAACGCAATCATTTCTCTTTCTCTCTGGCTATGGTGACACTGTACTGCTAGGGTGACGGTATGTAAAAAAACAAAAAAAAAAAAAACAAATAATATAAAAAAAAAATAAAAACTTAAAACAATTTTTTTGAAAAATTATCATTTTTGGTTATAAACTAATTTGGGTTATTATTTTTTTTTTTACTAAAAAGATAACTGAATAAATTTTGGCCAAGATTTATGAAGAAAGATGATTTGCAAACTTTTATAAGAAATTTATTTTTTCAAATTTTTGGACTTTTTCATTTACATAGCAAAAAAAAATGAAAAATCCCAGCGGTGAATAAATACCACCAAAATAAAGTTTTATCTGTCTCAAAAAAATGCTAAAATATCCATCGCATAAATTGGCCTAAATTTGTGAAGAACAATTATTTACAGTTGTGGCCAAAATTATTCAACCCCCAATGCTGTAAAGGGGTTTAGGGACTATAGTGTACATTTGGAATTGTATTCAGAATCAAATCCTACAAGGACGTTGTAACTACCCAAATGCAACTAAAATGACATCAATTGTTTATGTAATACAGTAGTAAATGGTTCTTATGTGGTTTCTTCATTGCCACAATTATTCAACCCCTTAAAGACTACCACTCTGAAGAACAGAGGTTCATACAGGTGCTTTCCATCAGGTATTGAAAACACCTGTGGATGTCACCGAGCAGCAATCAAGCATAATAAGCACCAATTAGGCAGCTTTAAAATGACTGTGATACTCAGCTCCTTCTAGACATTTACTGGTGTGGTTACAAACATGGTGAAGGCAAGAGAATGGTCCAGGAAGACAAGAGAAGAGGTGATTTCTCTTCACAGGAAGGGCAATGGCTATAAGAAGATTGCAAAGATGTTAAACATACCAAGAGACACCTTAGGAAGCATCATTCGCAAATTCAAGGCAAAGGGCACTGTTGAAACGCTACCTGGTCGTGGCAGAAAAGAAGATGCTGACTTCGACTGCTGTGCGCTACCTGAAGCGTAGAGTGGAGAGAGAAGTCCCCGTGTGACTGCTGAGGAACTGAGAAAAGATTTGTCAGATGTGGGTACAGAAGTTTCAGCCCAGACAATAAGACGCACACTGCGTAATGAAGGCCTCCGTGCCAGAACTCCCAGGCGTACCCCCTTGCTGTCTCCAAAGAATAAGAAGAGTCGACTGCAGTATGCCAAAAGCCATGTGGACAAACCACAAAAGTTGTGGGATAGTGTTCTGTGGACTGATGAAACAAAATTAGAACTGTTTGGGCCCATGGATCAACGCTATGTTTGGAGGAGGAAGAACAAGGCCTATGATGAAAAGAACACCTTGCCTACTGTGAAGCATGGTGGAGGGTCAATCATGCTTTGGGGCTGTTTTGCTTCTGCAGGTACAGGGAAGCTTCAGCGTGTGCAAGGTACCATGAATTCTCTTCAGTACCAGGAGATATTGGATGGAAACGTGATGCAGTCCGTCACACACCTGAGGCTTGGGAGACGTTGGACCTTTCAACAGGACAATGATCCCAAGCATACCTCCAAGTCCACTAGAGCATGGTTGCAGAGGAAAGGCTGGAACATTTTGGAGTGGCCATCGCAGTCACCAGACTTAAATCCGATTGAGAACCTCTGGTGGGACTTAAAGAAAGCAGTTGCAGTGCGCAAGCCTAAGAATGTGACTGAACTGGAGGCCTTTGCCCATGAAGAATGGGCGAAGATACCCGTAGATCGCTGCAAGACACTTGTGTCAAGCTATGCTTCACGTTTAAAAGCTGTTATAACTGTAAAAGGATGCTGTACTAAGTACTAAGATTGAATGTCACTTGGGGGTTGAATAAAACTGATAATGCTGTGAGCACAGAAAAGACATTTGTGGTTATTTCATTATAACTGTTATGTTATATTTGTCTGACCTACAAGTGCCTCTTTAATGTAAATGTAAGCAAGATGACTGAATGATCAAAAGCAATGTCAAACTGGCCAAAACACTCAATTTCAGTGGGGGTTGAATAATTTTGGCCACAACTGTATTTGCAAACTTTTATAACAGAAACAAAGAAAAACGTGGGGGTTTTTTTTTTTCAAAATCTTCAGTCTTTTTTTGTTAATTTAGCAAAAAATAAAAACCCCAGTGGTGATTAAATACCACCAAAAGAAAGCTGTAGTTGTGTGAAGCAAATGATAAAACTTTAGTTTGGGTACAGTGTTGTATGACTGTGCAATTGTCATTCAAAGCGCGACAGCGCTGAAAGCTGAAAATTGACCTGGGCAGGAAGGGGGTGAAAGTGTCCGGACTGGAAGTGATTAAAAACTGCATTTTGCATTCACTCGGGTTATCTTTGTGTAATATTAAAATTTGTTTTAAGATCTGAATCATTTAAGTGTGACAACTATGCAAAAAAAAAAAAAATACAAAAAACTCCGGAGGGGGCAAATACTTTTTCACAGCACTCTATATAGATCTCACAGTCGAACGCCAGAACATAAGAACAATGCAGATTTGCGAATCCTATGGACAGGGAATGTCCTCAATTAATGGGACTATACCACATGTACATCCTGTTTACAACGTTCTCTGATTTCCAGGGAGCTATTTTATAGCTTGGCGTCCTGCATTAGGAATTGTGTGCGAAATCCTCAATACCGGCTCCTCAGTGAGGGAAAGAAGAAAAGTCCAAAGCTTCTGCATTAAATTAAATGAAATCATTGTGCAATCCCAGCCCCAGCAGTACACAATGTTTTCCAGCTCCCCGTCACGAGGACATCACTGCAAGAGTCACACACAGGTCACCCAGCACATGTATACATGCCTGTTACATAAGGGTCAGGTGGATGGACGGACACATCCATGGACGAGCCACAACCATTCAGTGCAGTAGATGAGGAGGAGGACATTGTTTGGACAAGTGCATACAGGTGGTCCTTTTAGGGTCACCTTGTAAATTCTGGTCCAAAGAGCTGCAGGTTCTATTAGCATTTCCAAAGCATCTAAAAACCACAATAAACACATGGGAACTGTATTATCTGCTCAAGGATTTATAATCCTGCCTGGTCAGACAGTTGTTTTATTTTTATGCAGAAACCTCTGCTAGATAGCACAGCCAGGTCGTGGACTTCTAGGACAATGTCACCTGTCCAGTCTGGGTCATGGGACAGAGTCTACAGATAGCCCAGCCCTCCAGAGAGATATACTCCCCTACGCTCCATGCTCCCTGGTCACCCCACTCTGTCAAAGCCTTACCTCCATTCATCTAATGCACTGGTCCCCAAACTGCTGCCCATTGCTTGTGTATATCCGGCTTTGGGACACTATTCCTCCCAGTGACACCAATACTTCGGGCACCATTCCCCACACCGACAGCAATGATGGGGAAACATTCCCCCCCACCAACAACAAAGATATGGCACTATTCCCCCCACCTACAGCAATTATGGGACAACATCCCCCCTCACTGACAGCAATGATGGGGCAACATTCCCCCCCACCAACAACAAAGATATGGCACTATTCCCCCCACCGACAGCAATTATGGGACAGCACTCCCCCCACCGACAGCAATGATAGGGCAACATTCCCCCCACCGACAGTAATGATGGGGCAACATTCCCTCCACCAACAAATATGTGGCACTATTCCCCCCACCGACAGCAATGATGAAGCAACATTCTCCCCACCGACAGCAATGATGGGGCAACATTCCCCCGACCGACAACAAAGATATGGCACTATTCCTCCCACTGACACCAATGACGGGGCACCATTCCTCCCACTGACACCAATGATGGGGCACTATTCCTCCCACTGACACCAATGACGGGGCACCATTCCTCCCACTGATACCAATGATGGGGCACTATTCCTCCCACTGACACCAATGATGGGGCACTATTCCTCCCACTGACACCAATGATGGGGCACTATTCCTCCCACTGACACCAATGACGGGGCACTATTCCTCCCACTGACACCAATGATGGGGCACTATTCCTCCCACTGACACCAATGATGGAGCACTATTCCTCCCACTGACACCAATGATGGGGCACTATTCCTCCCACTGACACCAATGACGGGGCACCATTCCTACCAGTGACACCAATGATGGGGCACCATTCCTCCCACTGACACCAATGATGGGGCACTATTCCTCCCACTGACACCAATGATGGAGCACTATTCCCCACTGATACCAATGATGGGGCACCATTCCTCCCACTGATACCAATGATGGGGCACCTCTCCCACCCTTGGAAACAAAAGATATGTGAATGACCAGTTCACACCTCAGACCTCTCCTACCCTTGGAAACAAAAGATATGTTAATGACCAGTTCACACCTCAGACCTCTCCTACCCTTAGAAACAAAAGATATGTTAATGAACATTCACACCTCAGACCTCTCCCACCTTGGAAACAAAAGATATGTTAATGACCATTCACACCGCAGACCTCTCCCACCCTAGGAAACAAAAGATTTGTTAATGACCATTCCCACCTCAGACCTCTCCCACCCTAGGAAACAAAAGATATGTTAATGACCATTCACACCTCAGACCTCTCCCACCCTTGGAAACAAAAGATATGTTAATGACCATTCACACCTCAGACCTCTCCCCCCTTGGAAACAAAAATATATGTTAATGACCATTCACACCTCAGACCTCTCCCAGCCTTGGAAACAAAAGATATGTTAATGACCATTCACACCTCAAATTCCTCATGAAGACCCCCTGCCAGGTGACCTTAATGACTCCCTCCAGCAGACACCTTTCCCACCCTTGGAAACAAAAGAAATGTTATTAAGCAACTCACACCTAAGCTAATCTCAACACATACTGCTGTCTCTGCTTCTACTCTCTGTATTTCTCTGAAACAGTCTGAAATAGTTTATAATTTACCACTTTTCAGTGCATTCTGGGTATTTGGGAGGTTCTCCCGTGCTTATCTTAAAAAAACGCTTCTAAACGCAAACACGCATAAACGCGTTATGCAAACGTGGCTAAACAGACGTTTTTTACCCTACGTTTTCCTGTTGTCAGTTTCCATCGTTCAGAAGTGTCCTGTGTACATGGGGCTGAATACTGAGGCTCCATGATCATGATTAAAGAAACTAAAATCAAATGAATGAAAGGGAAGGGTCAGGGATAGTAAGCCCGGGGAGATGATGCTGGATGTCCTCCAGTGGGCATCACCTCATCTGGCTTGCTACAACTTCAGATGCACATTCATTTAACTGCACACTGTGAGCTTCTCACAGATTAAACAATTTATATACAGAAAAGGAGCCTGGGCAAGTGTGAAAAACTAAGCCTATGTTTAGCTCTGCACCTAAACCGAAAGCGGATCACTCTTCAGGGGGATAGACAGGTGGTGAGGAGGTGATGCGACGCCTCCCCACCTCCTGGTTTAACCCCATTGTTGCCAAAAAACGTGCTGCAAATGAGTGCATTGCATGCAGTTGTGAAGCGTTTGCAGGACTTCTCCATTTACTTGAATGTGTTCGGTAAACTTGCCACCTGCCAATCGAGACATGTCGGTTAATTTTTGCTGCAGCTCTGAAGCCCCCCATTCCCTGCTATTGCAGCTTAAATTGATATGAAAGGAATTTTTTTTTTTTTTTTTTTTAAACATCATACTTGCCTGCTCTGCGTAATGATTTTGCACAGAGCAGCCCCGATCCTCCGCTTCTCGGGTCCCCCGACTGCGCTCCTGGCCCCTCCCTCCTGCCTAGTAGCCCCTCAGCAAGCAGCCTGCTATGGGGGCTCCCGAGCCGCTGCTCTGTGTGTCTATTCCCATACGAACAAAGCTCGGCCCCGACACCCACTCTCTCTTCATTGGCTCACTGGCTGTGATTGACAGGAGCGGGAGCCAATGGCCCTTGCTGCTGTCTCTCAGTCAATGAGGGAGAGACCCGGGACAGCTGAAGCTCCCATGCACATCGCTGGATCAAGATTGGGCTCAAGTAGGTATTAGGGGGGGGGCTGCTGCACACAGAAGGTTTTTCTACCTTCATGCATAGAATGGATGCTGCAAGTAATCTATACTGGTCTTTTTCAACCAGGGTGCCTTGGCAAAATACCAACAAATTGACCCAAATTATCCAAAAACTGTCAGCAAGCCAGCAAGTGAAGCCTGCCTTTTGTTACACAAAGTACAGGTATTTATTGTGCAGCATTAGGACTTTGGGCGCTGTGAAGGCTACCCACTGGCATCCTAGCATTTTATAGCATCATTGGTTGATAAGGACGATGTCAGGTGCCTGCATTCTTTTTTGCCCCTCTCAATCAGCACTGGGTTCCACTTTAGCTGAGTGAGGGAGAAGAGAAACATTGGAATACTAGTCAGTACCAGTGTGCAAAGATGCATTTGCTTTGGAAGAATAAATCACCTCTAATGTTGGGTGTCCTACATGTGTGGACGTTGCTGCGTGATGTAAAACCATTTGTTTACTTCTGTACAATGGGGTGCCTCTTGCTTGCTTTTATCCAGCCATTGGGGCACTAATTCATCCACTGAGAACAACGATGGAACGATAGTATCAAAGGATACTAATGATGAGGCACAATTCCTCCCACTGACACCGACTGGGCACAATTTCTCCCAATGACACCAACAATAGGGCCCCATGACAGCAATGATGGGGCATAATTCCTCCCACTGACACTGATTGGGCACAATTTCTCCCAATGACACCAACGATGGGACAGAATTTCTCGCACTGATACCAATGATGGGGTACAATTTCTCCCAAAGACACCACAAATGGGGCTAAATGACACCAATTGGGCACAATTCCTCCAACTGACACCAATGATGGGGCACAATTCCTCCAATGTCACCAATGGGGCCCAATGATACAAATGATGGGGCACAATTCCTCTCAATGATACCAATGATGGGGTCCAATTTCTCCCAAAGACAACAAAAATGGGGCTAAATGACACCAAATGGGCACAACTCCTCCCACTGACACCAAATGGGCACAATTCCTCCCACTGACACCAAATGGGCACAATTCCTCCCACTGACACCAATGATGGGACACAATTCCTCCCACTGACACCAATGATGGGACACAATTCCTCCCACTGACACCAATGATGGGACACAATTCCTCCCACTGACACCAATGATGGGACACAATTCCTCCCACAGACACCAATGATGGGGCACAATTCCTCCCACAGACACCAATGATGCGGCACAATTCCTCCCACAGACACCAATGATGGGGCACAATTCCTCCCACAGACACCAATGATGGGGCACAATTCCTCCCACAGACACCAATGATGGGGCACTATTCCTCCCACTGATACCAATGATGGGGCACTATTCCTCCCACAGACACCAATGATGGGGCACTATTCCTCCCACAGACACCAATGATGGGGCACTATTCCTTCTACTGACACCAATGATGGAGCACAATTCCTCTAAATGACACAAACAATTGAGCCCAATGACAGCAATGATGGGGCATAATTCCTCCCATTGACACTAATTGGGTCCAATTTCTCCCAAAGACACCAACAATGGGGCTAAATGACACCAATGATAGGGCACAATTCCTCCAATGACAGCAATGATGGGGCATAATTCCTCCCACTAACACTGATTGGGTACAATTTCTCTCAATGACACCAACAATGGGGCCCAATGATGGGACACAATTCCTCTCACTGATACCAATGATGGGGTCCAATTTCTCCCAAAGACACCAAAAATGGGGCTAAATGACACCAATGATTGGACACAATTCATCCCACTGACACCAATGGGGCACAATTCCTCCAAGTGACATCAACGATGGGGCACATGTCCTCCAAAGTGACATTAACAATGGGGAATTGTCCCCCCCCCCCCCCCCCTCTCCCATTGACAGCTGCAATTTTCCTACTCACAATGGCCACAGTCGGCCCCCCTAAAAGTTTGAAGGACAGTAAGCTGGACCTTAGTTTAGAAAGTTTGGAGACCCCTGATCTATACCATTGCTTGGATAAAAGAACCCAAGAGATAAGGCACTACTGGTCCCACACTGACCAAGAAACAGACCCCCCTGATCTATACCATTACTTGGGTAAAAGAACCCTAGAGATAAGGCTCTACTGGTCACACGTTGACCAAGAAACAGAGACCCCTGATCTATACCATTGCCTGGATAAAAGAACCCAAGAGATAAGGCAGTACTGGTCACATGCTGACCAAGAAACAGAGACCCCTGATCTATACCATTGCTTGGATAAAAGAACCCAAGAGATAAGGCACTACTGGTCACATGTTGACCAAGAAACAGAGACCCCTGATCTATACCACTGCTTGGATAAAAGAACCCAAGAGATAAGGCACTACTGGTCACACGTTGACTAAGAAACAGAGACCCCTGATCTATACCATTGCTTGGATAAAAGAACCCAAGAGATAAGGCACTACTGGTCACACGTTGACTAAGAAACAGAGACCCCTGATCTATACCATTGCTTGGGTAAAAGAACCCAAGAGATAAGGCACTACTGGTCACACGTTGACCAAGAAACAGATGGACCTTGCTCTGTTTAAAGACCCAGCAACGATCAATATTCCAGACAAGAAAAGGAGTAAATTCACCTGAAACAAATCACCAGATTGCAGTGTGACCTTCTCTACCTCAGACACGGTTCCCAGTGTCCCAGAAAAACAAAGCCATAAAAAGTGACAAATAAACAGGAAGAGCTTAAGAGCTGGCCCCGGCACTGCTGTGGAGCGCGATGCTGCTTGGCAAATGCCGCAGAAGCTAACTGTAATGTCTCTCCGTGGAAATGTTTAGCTTTTGATCAAAACAAAAAGCAAATTGAATGACTGGGGTAAAAGACGTTCTATGTCCCATGTGCCAAACCGCCAGAGCTATTAGGACCCCCATGGAAAAAAAAAAAAAAAATATTTAGCTGCGGAACAATATCCAAAACACTAAATAAAATAAATCAACTGGAACAGAACAAGGCTCTTGTTGGTGGTAATGAAACAAAAGATTCTTGTATTTTTGTTTTCAATTATACAAGCTGTTGGTTTCAATTATAGAGAAGGAGAAAAGGGAGGAAGGGAGTTGAATAACGGGGAACAACTTCTGGATGGCCTTTGTCTGGATGGCTTTGTGGGGTTTCTGATGACTGAAGCCATCTTCCTCTCGTTAAGAGACATAACAAGCTTAATCCTGTTTATTCCCAGAGTTTAAAAATAAACAGCCGTGGATGAAAGTGGAGGGGGAAGGACTGCGGCATGCGAAAATTCGGCCCCTTACTGTAGGATATTATCGGCTCTGCCACGTCTCACATGTGGCTGGTCGGTAGGAAACGAGGAACAAAAGAGAAAATTGGGTCGGTTTCTGGAGTCATGGCATGCCAGTTGTCTTTCCTAAAATGTCATGCCAAGTGGCAGCATGCAATGGTTCCACCACAGCTGGTTTTATTTTTTCTTTTTATTTTCAGTGTAACAGGGATGGGCAAGTCTGCTGTAGAATTCAGAAGCTTCTATCTGGGAGTCGGTGGGCAAATTGAAGAAGCCAGGGCACGCATGCTTCTAATGAGCACTAAAAGGCTAAAACCGAAAGGCCTCCTAAGGGCTCATTGCTTCCACTTGAACACATTAAAGTGCCTACTGCTTCAACATGCTTTTTTGATGCTTCTGTGAAGCTTTATTGAAGCTGGGAAAATTCCCTGGGTGTGTTAGTTTTCAATTTTTTTTTCTATTTCTTTTAAAAGGAGCCCAGTAGTACCCCCCACTCAGCAGATCCCCAGCTCATTGGTACCCTCGTTCAGCAGATCCCCAGCTCATTGGTACCCTCGTTCAGCAGATCCCCAGCTCATTGGTACCCTCGTTCAGCAGATCCCCAGCTCATTGGTACCCTCGTTCAGCAGATCCCCAGCTCATTGGTACCCTCGTTCAGCAGATCCACAGCTCATTGGTACCCTCGTTCAGCAGATCCCCAGCTCAGTAGTACCCCCCAAACCTTGCTAATCCCCTGTTCCCTTCTCTCCCCTTATCACTTGACTCCTGAATGGATCCAGTGCTGTGCCAAGACTGCAGTCCTCTCTCCTCTTCTTATGGGGGCACACCGAAAAGAGGAGCCAAGTGCACTGGCAGGGGACCCTAGAAGAGATGGTTCAGGGCTACTATGTCATACCACTGCACAGAGCAGGCAAGTACCGTATATTGTGTTTGTTATTTATTAAACAAAAAGACATTTTCAATCCTTTTAAGTCTATACATTATGAAACATTGTGATATTACCCTGAAACTAGTTTTACTCCTTAGGCTACATTCACACTGAGCTGGGCATTTTTTTTTTTTTTTTTGCAGATTTGCAAATATAGGCATTTCTCCTGTGGCCAATAGAAATAAAAGTAGCTGCTGTTTGAGCTGAAAATGCTTGAAAAAAAATGCTCATTCCCACTGTTCGGGTGTTCTCCATTTAAAGTGTTACTAAACCCAGGATCCTGCATTCACTATATCTGGTCTCCCCGGACCCTGCATTCACTATATCCGGTCTCCCCGGACCCTGCATTCACTATATCCGGTCTCCCCGGACCCCGCATTCACTATATCCGGTCTCCCCGGACCCTGCATTCACTATATCTGGTCTTCCCGGACCCTGCATTCACTATATCTGGTCTTCCCGGACCCTGCATTCACTATATCTGGTCTCCCTGGACCCTGCATTCACTATATCCGGTCTCCCCGGACCCTGCATTCACTATATCCGGTCTCCCCGGACCCTGCATTCACTATATCCGGTCTCCCCGGAACCTGCATTCACTATATCCGGTCTCCCCGGACCCTGCATTCACTATATCCGGTCTCCCCGGACCCTGCATTCACTATATCCGGGCTCCCCGGACCCTGCATTCACTATATCCGGTCTCCCCGGACCCTGCATTCACTATATCCGGTCTCCCCGGACCCTGCATTCACTATATCCGCTCTCCCCGGACCCCGCATGCACTATATCCGCTCTCCCCGGACCCTGCATTCACTATATCCGGTCTCCCCGGACCCTGCATTCACTATATCCGGTCTCCCCGGACCCTGCATTCACTATATCTGGTCTCCCACAGTACACAGAACATGGAAATGCAATTATTTTAGTAAATATAAACTGCTAAAAACCTTTTCTCATCAGCAGTTAGAGCAGCCTTGTGACTTCTATCTGCGTCCAGCCCACCACTAGCTAAAGCTTGAAGTGTGAACGTGGTATGTGGCTAAAACAAAACGCCTAGATGAAAAACGCCAGAAAAAACACTTGAAAAAAATGCCTGAAAAGCGCTGAGCTTAGTGTGAATGTAGCCTGAAACATTTCCGAAAACAGTTTTCCTAGGGGTAATCTGTAGAACATCAGAGTCAATTAGGACCCTAGCTAGGAGGCTGCCGAGTTCATTGGGCAGTTTTCTTTTTTTTTCTTTTTTAGTCTAAGCAAACCGATCAAAGCTGACCATACAGTGTGTAAATTTTGGATGGTTCTGGATGAACCAGACTAAATCCATTCAATGGAGGGCCACCTTTGGCCACCTCCTGCAAGTGAAAAATATAAGTAGGTGTGTGAGCCAAACAGTGGCTGAATCTAATTGGTGGGTTAGTAGCAGATGTCAATACAAAAACCCAGCAGGGGTATTTGTCCATGCACACTGTACAGTGTGGTTGGAGGAAAGCGTTCAGATTTTTTTTTTCCTTCAGCCTACAGGCTGAATAAAAAACAAAAATGATCAGTGTATAGTCTCTTGCAGAGAAGAGACTCCTTTGAATCTTAGGCCCAGCTTGTACATGGAGACCGGACTTCATGTCCAAGTCATGGTAAAACCTACACCTCTCCCTGTGCTAGGCCCAACCCATTATTCAACTATCAGAAGCCAGACCAGAAAAAAAGTGGGGGGTTCTAGATTTTGACAGTTAAATAAAACAAGGATAGTGCTTATGGTAGGGAAGCAGCAAGCTTGACTGAGGCAAATGTCATACACAGTGGGGCAATAAAGTATTTAGTCAGCCACCAATGGTGCAAGTTCTCCCACTTACAAAGATGAGAGAGGCCTGTAATTGGCATCATAGGGAGACCTCAACTATGAGAGACAAAATGAGAAAACAAATCCAGACAATCACATTGGCTGATTTGGAAAGAATTTATTTGCAAATTATGGTGGAAAATAAGTATTTGGTCACCTACAAACCAGCAAGATTTCTGGCTCTCACAGACCTGTACCTTCTTCTTTAAGAGGCTCCTCTATCCTGCACTCATTACCTGTATCAATGGCACCTGTTTGAACTTGTTATCAGTATAAAAGACACCTGTCCACAACCTCAAACAGTCACACTCCAAACTCCACTATGGTGAAGACCAAAGAGCTGTCGAAGGACACCAGAAACAAAATGGTAGACCTGCACCAGGCTGGGAAAACTGAATCTGCAATAGGCAAGCAGCTTGGTGTGAACAAATCAACTGTGGGAGCAATAATTAGAAAATGGAAGACATACAAGACCACTGATAATCTCCCTCGATCCGGGGCTCCACGCAAGATCTCACCCCGTGGGGTCAAAATGATCACAAGAACGGTGAGCAAAAATCCCAGGACCACACGGGGGGACCTAGTGAATGACCTGCAGAGAGCTGGGACCAACGTAACAAAGGCTACCATCAGTAACACACTACGCCGCCAGGGACTCAGATCCTGCAATGCCAGACGTGTCCCCCTGCTTAAGCCAGTACATGTCCGGGCCCGTCTGAAGTTTGCTAGAGAGCATTTGGATGATCCAGAAGAGGATTGGGAGAATGTCATATGGTCAGATGAAACCAAAATAGAACTGTTTGGTAGAAACACAACTCGTTGTGTTTGGAGGAGAGAGAATGCCAAGTTGCATCCAAAGAACACCATACCTACTGTGAAGCATGGGGGTGGCAACATCATGCTTTGGAGCTGTTTCTCCGCAAAGGGACCAGGACGACTAATCCATGTACAGGACGGAATGAATAGGGCCATGTATTGTGAGATATTGAGTGCAAACCTCCTTCCATCAGCAAGGGCATTGAAGATGAAACATGGCTGGGTCTTCCAACATGACAATGATCCCAAACATACCGCCCGGGCAACGAAGGAGTGGCTTCGTAAGAAGCATTTCAAGGTCCTGGAGTGGCCTAGCCAGTCTCCAGATCTCAACCCCATAGAAAACCTTTGGAGGGAGTTGAAAGTCCATGTTGCCCAGCGACAGCCCCAAAACATCACTGCTCTAGAGGAGATCTGCATGGAGGATGGGCCAACATACCAGCAACAGTGTGTGCCAACCTTGTGAAGACTTACAGGAAACGTTTGACCTCTGTCATTGCCAACAAAGGATATATAACAAAGTATTGAGATGAACTTTTGATATTGACCAAATACTTATTTTCCACCATAATTTGCAAATAAATTCTTTCCAAATCAGCCAATGTGATTGTCTGGATTTGTTTTCTCATTTTGTCTCTCATAGTTGAGGTCTACCTATGATGCCAACTACAGGCCTCTCTCATCTTTTTAAGTGGGAAAACTTGCAAAATTGGTGGCTGACTAAATACTTTTTTGCCCCACTGTACAGCACCATGCTTCTTGGACAAGCCTTGGCTAGCCTGGAGCAAATTTTTAAACTGGCCAAAAGGCCTTCCATGTATAATGCTCATGGCACTTTTTAATTTTTTTCTTTCTCTGGGTCTGCCCTGATGTCGGGGAGAGGATTTCAGGTCTTCTACATCTACACAATGTGGGGGGGGGGGGTCTTTCTTCAGGAGACACCTCAACAAGTAGTTGGTTGATCAGCTTCTGCAAGTCCATAAGAAGTGGAGTCCCTCAATTTCAACTTGGTGGACTAGAGTACCTACCCCTGCCTCCTAAAGCTTGTGTCCTGAGGATTACAGACCCTTCCTGATCAAAGCACCATTGTGTACATTCTTTTTTTGGGGGGTTACTGTACACCCTGACCTGAGGGGCTTTGGATGGATGCTAGGGTCGATTGGAAAGCTAAACAAGTATTTGTGGGCAATACAATGTGCCTTAAACACTTCTAAAATGTTTCTCAGGTAGCAGAACAGGTTGGGATCACTTTAAGAGACTAATTTTTGGCATATGGCTTCCTAAATCCTGGAATCCATCCAGCTCAGATAGACCCAAAATAACAAAACATATTTATAATCCCCATGTATACGAGTAGCATAACCGCTTTCATCAGAATCTTCCCCCTCCCTGCTAGGCTGTGAAGGAGCATTTGATGAACATTCATCCCTGAACACTGAGCCCCCTGAACAAAAAAGGATTATCTATTTCTCCACAGAACTGCAGTAATCATTTGCAATCAGGGCTAATCAGAAAACAATACAAAACGCACAAACAATGGAAAATGCTTGATTAAGCTAAAATCACCTAAGAACCGAATAAACGGCAAGACAAAACATTGCATGTCTGCTGCATCACTGGGGCTGTGCTGGGTTATAGAACACATGGTGCCAATATTAGGTTCACGCTCCATTGGAAAGCATTCAGTGAGATTCGGTTCATAGTCTTCATAAGTGTCATGTGACGATCGGATTTTAATTTGTAAAAGATGCCAATGGTGGTGGCGGCACATCCACATCCTAGCTCCTGCTGACTCCAAATGACTTGAACACGTAGTTGAAGTGAGCTAAAAGTTGATACAGCCCGACTAGTAGGTCAAAGCACGTACGAGTTCCTAGAACACCTATTCAGCGTCTCTATATAAGGCTACCTAGGAGTCACAAATTACTTGAAAGGCTTTTCAGGCTCCCTCCCACCTCCTGAACCTCATTATTGACCAGGAAGGCCACCCATTAAAGTTATAGTCCACCAATGAAGTGATTATGGCGAGAGTGTTGGTGCCAGGTCTTTTCTTTTTTTTCCCCCCCCGCAAATCATTTTTGGCACTCAAAGTGTAGAAAACCAGGCACAGTAGATTTTAGGACTGGATGTAACGCATATCTAAACCCAAAAATAAAAAAAAATAATATATTGCAGCTTACAAGTGACTGCATTTGTTTTCATTTCTCAGGCTAGGAACATTTTCAGCAAGTACAGAAAATACATGTCGATCCTACCAGAAATGCAGTGTCCTTGTAACTTCCTGTGAGCTGAAATGACGACATAAACAATGTTCTTATTCTTTCTTTTGTAAACTATTATTCCCCCATTATAATGGAGATGAACAAAGGCAGCTGTGTTTGAAGCCTGGCTAGTTTGTAAACCATGGTTCCTTCTATAGCAGGGAACTCCAAACTTTCTAAAAAAAAAAAAAAAAAAAAGGAAAAAGTCCCTCAGATTTTAGGAGTGCCGGACTGGTGGGGCCAGTGAGAGAAGAAAATGCCCCATTTCTGGTGCCTGTGGAAGGAATAGTGCCCCATCATTGGTGTCAGTGGGAGGAATAGTGCCCCATCATTGGTGTCAGTGGGAGGAATAGTGCCCCATCATTGGTGTCAGTTGTGGATGGAATAGTGCCCCATCTTTGGTATCAGTGGGAGGAATAGTGCCCCATCATTGGTGTCAGTGGGAGGAATAGTGCCCCATCATTGGTGTCAGTGGGAGGAATAGTGCCCCATCATTGGTATCAGAGGGAGGAATAGTGCCCCATCATTGGTATCAGAGGGAGGAATAGTGCCCCATCATTGGTATCAGAGGGAGGAATAGTGCCCCATCGCTGGTATCAGTGGAAGGAATAGTGCCCCATCATTGGTGTCAGTGGAAGGAATAGTGCCCCATCATTGGTATCAGTGGGAGGAATAGTGCCCCATCATTGGTGTCAGTGGG